CATGATGAGGACCGCTCCGGTTGCCCTTCTTTGATTACAGTGAACTCTTGGTTATCGGAGCAGGCGGCAAGTTTTTACGAAGAGGGTATTTTAACGTTGGTTCAGAGGTATGATAAGTGTTTGAACAAACTTGGCAACTATGTCGAAAAATAGAGTGAAAATAAATTTACTTTTTTGAAATAAACTTTGGTTGTGTACTTATGTTGAAACGGACCTTACTTAAAAAATACCCCTCGTATAATATTAATATTGTGCTATGGTAATAATATAATATATTGTATTTACTTGTCACTTGTAAGCCGTTCTGAGTACCCTTCGGGGTGAGAAGGACGGCATATAAATGTCATAAATAAATAAATAAATAAATAAATAAATAAAATTGGCTTTTGTGGATTGGTCATTGTTGTGCTGCAATTTAAGTCATGACTCAAGATCGACAAACACGTGTTATTTTACATGTTATTTCATAAAGTTAACTGTACTACACAATAAAATATTACCCCAACAAAGAGTAAAATATGCAAAGTTAAAGCCAAAACATGCCAAAACGTATTGTTCCGTACAAACTCTTCTATATGCCTTCTTAAGAAGTCAAATTCTGAAAAGTCATTTGCCCAGTGACAGGAAAGCAATCTGAGAAGGTGGTAGGTGGGAAAAAAGTCAAATGACTCACTCTTGCAAAATTTTGCTGTCTGTTGTCTGGGGAAACCCGAAGTCCATCAGCTCATCCAGTAGTTCATATACAATGACAAAATTGTCACGGATGCTCTCTTCCTCTAGTTCTTTAAAGTATTCTGAAAAGACCTGATAAGTAAAGGATAGAAGAATTCACCGTGGATTTCTTACTGAAGGCATATTCTTTCTGTGCTCAAAATGTTGGCGTTACAAGTCCCTAGTCACAAAATTTTGCATGTCTAAAATGTGAAAATGTCAAAAATGTCAAAATGTTTGGAAAGTTCTGACCTAGAGCACAGACCAAAAACACTACCTATCTTTACATGTGTTTCTAAAATGTGTTCAGCCACTTACCTCTACCACTTTGTAGAGAAAGGAATATACAAGTGAGGCATTGGCGTTCTTCATGGTGAGGGCCACCACTACAGAAAAGGTCAAGGAAGAAGCTAAGAAAAGAACCATTTTGTCCACTCCACCAGAGACCTGTATTGTAGCCCACTGTGGCTGGATCTACACTCCCATATACAGGGGCGG